ATGTGCTCCTATTGCTCAATAATTTGAGTCCAATCTATAAATTATAACTCTCTCACATTTTCATTCCATGCATGCTAAGAGTGCAGAACAAATCAGAGTGTCTTATTATAAATTATAACTCTCTCAATTATGTTGACTTTCGTATAACAAGTTCAACGGTCCAATTCCCACTTCATTGGCAAACCTTACAGAGTTAAACAATCTGTCACTTTCTTATAATAATTTTAGTGGCGGTGCCTTGTCTTGGCTTGCTAAGCAAACCAAACTTACTGATCTATACCTTAGAAGCATCAATTTGATTGGTGACATCCCATCTTCTCTAAGAAACCTCACCCAACTCACTCGTCTTAATCTTCCCAAAAATCATTTAACTGGTCCAATCCCATCTTGGCTAGGTAACCTTACCAAGCTAGTTGACATATATCTTAGTCAAAATAAGTTGCATGGTTCATTTCCTGAGTCAATGTACAATGTCATGAATCTCCGAAACCTTTTGTTAGATGAGAATAATTTAAGTGGAATAGTGGAGTTTGACAAGTTGCTTTACTACAAAATCTCATCCAAGTCTATCTATCCAATAACAAATTCGAATTACGCACTAAATCCCGAATTATGAATGCAACTCTTCCACAGTTCAGGGTTCTAGGGTTGGGATCTTGCAACTTAAGTGAGTTTCCATATTTCCTTAGGTACCAAGAAATATTGGAGTGGTTGGACCTATAGGGAAACAAATTGCATGGCCAAGTACCTAAATGGACGTTGAACACAAGCACAGAAACTTTGCAGATCCCTGCCCTTTCTTTCCACCATCTTTCGGGCTTTGACCATCCTCCTGTTGTTCTTCCCTGGGTTAACATGAGATCGCTTACATTTGCCATGAACTTGGTACAAGGACCATTACCAATACCTCCACCATACACTGAAATATATCACGTTTCAGGCAACAAACTAAGTGGAGAAATTTCACCACTGATTTGCAATATGAGTTTCTTGTGTATCTTGATTTGTCAAACAACAAGTTGAGTGGCATGCTTCCACAATGTCTCGGAAACTTCAGCGATTATCTGCAGGTTTTAAATCTTGGAAACAACTCTTTCCAAGGCTATCTTCCTCTTGCATACAGCAAAAGAAGCAATCTGAGGGTGATCGATGTTAGCCATAACCAATTGCAGGGACAACTTCCAAGGTCATTGGAAAACTGTGTGATGCTTGAGTTTCTTATTTTGTCAAACAATAAATTCAGTGATGTCTTCCCTTTTTGGTTGGGATGTCTTCCAGAGTTAAAAGTTTTAGCAATGCGCTATAATGAGTTCCATGGTGTGATAGGCAAACCACAAAGCAATCATTGTTTCCCCAATTTGGGCATTTTCGACCTTTCCTACAATAATTTCTCAGGTGAGTTCCTAATTGACTGCATTTTCTCTTAGAAGGCAATGATGAGGTAAGATATTACTGTAAACCAGTCAACATATATGAAGGCAAGCGTAAATTATGTTGCCGTTCAGTTTTTAATGCTGAACAGTTACGATTTCTAGATCACAATAGCAAATAAAGGTGTGGAAAGATACTACTCAAGGATTCAAGAAGCCTTTGCAGCCATTGACACCTCAAGCAACAGATTTGAAAGGAAGATTCATGAATTCATTGGGAAACTAAAAGGACTTCGCTCGCTCGACATTTCAAACAACAATCTCACAGGCAGCATCCCTTCATTCTTAGGCAACCTAGCGCTGCTCGAATCATTGGAACTGTAACGACCCGGTCCTAAATAAATTTTTATTTGTTAATTTATTTAGGTAAAAGACCATTTTACCCATAGAATATTTTATTGGGTTTAAAGTTGACTTTTTGACCGGGAAGGAATTTGGGAATTCGGACTGTACCGTTGTGTAGAGCACGGCGAGATGAGTTCGTAGACACGTAGTGAGCTCGAATCGGAGTTATAACGAGAGAGGTACGATCAAAATACCCTCAGTGCCATAACCGTAATTTTGGCGAAAAGGGTTTGATAAAAATCAGATTCTCTGTCTCTGTCTCTGTCTGTCTCTCTGTCTCTGTCTGTCTGTCTGTCGTCTCTCTCTCTCTCTCCTCTCTCTCCCCGCGTGCTCTCTCTCTCTCTCTCTCCTCGCGACGGCAGCTCTCTCTCTCTCTCTCTCTCTTCGAATCTCCGGCCACCGGCCACTGCTGTGGTCGGGACCGGTGCCAAAAGGACCGGCTCAGCCCCGCCGTCAAGACCCGGCCCTTCCCCGACATCAGCCGCCGGAAAACGTGAGTTTTAGGCCAGTTTCCGCTTGAAACTTAGCCGGCTTCGATGTCTCTCTTCCGGCCGCCATTTTTGGCGATCAAGGTATGGAAATTCATCATTTCTTCATAATCTAGCTGATGGTTGGGTAGGATTGCATCAATTTTGAGCGTAGATAGCTTGATTTTGGAATTGGATTTCGGTCGGTTTTGGGATCTCAATTCCGGCCACTTCCGGTCAGTTTTTGGGGTAGGTCCAAGAACAAAAGTGGTTCCAATTATGGTGTTTTACCGAGGGTAGGAGCCTTGAGTCGTGATTTGGAGTTTTTCAGGCAAAAGGTTATCGCTTTGGACACCCACGCGCTGCCTGCGTGTGTGGCGGCTCGTGGACACTCTAGAAAAGGGGCATTGAGTCCCGAGGTGATCTCCTGGTCCTCACGAGCGTGTAAGTGTGCTCAGATTTCAATTTGGATATCGTTTAATCGTCGATTGGATATCGCATATTGTGCGTTATCCGGGTTCGATAGGTTTGAACTGTTGGATCGTCGTGAATTTAATATATGTCAATCTAGACATTCCTAGGATCGTGTAGGATTCGACGGATCGTGGGGTCTGCCCTCACGCCAGAAAATCCTATGCCATGTGGGACCTAGCCATCATATCACATAATCTCCCCATACGACGGAATATCCAACGCCACGTATGGGGTCTGTCTCAACTCCGGAAAATCCTGCGCCATGCGAGACCTAAAAATCACATATCACATAATCTCCCCATACGCCTGTAGGGGACCTTTTTCTTCCTGCAGCTAACGGGCTGGGCTGCTGCAAAAGGCGGACTGAGGAGATTGCCCTTTTTTGTTTAGGTTCTAAAATTAAGCCCCAAAATACCTCGAAAGGGCAGCGAAACCTTAGGAGATATTTTGGATAATCTTCACCAATGAGAATAATAGTGACTTGCAGATAGTTTTGGCATGCTTACAGATGGTTTTTTAGCTCAGCATGAGTGGCATGAGGCATGGGGAGCAAAACCAACATGGGTTTAGCACTAAGAGAGAAATTAGGCTTGGTTTATGAGAAATGAAAGTGTTTAAGTAAGGAATGAGGTGTTTTGTGAGGAATTTTGACTAGAGAAAGAGAAAAAAAGAAAGGCAGGGTTCTTCCGGCAGCTGCCAGAAAAACAAATTGGAGAAGAAGATGAACAGTGCACGAGTCTGAGTTTTGCAAGATAGAGAGAAAAGCTTGCTCTCTGCAGGTTGTGAGTTGTTTCTGTTGGGTAGGGGAAGGCTCAATTTATAGCTGCCGGAAATCACCATTTTTCAAGAAACCCTAATGGTTTCTACTTACTTTGGCTAAGCTTTTCTTCCTTTCTCCTCCCCTTCTCTGACTTCCCTTTCTTGGCAAAGATTGCTTCTGTCTATTTTCATGAATTCAGGGGATTTGGGGGGCTCAACATCCTCCTTTCCCGCGGCTGTGCAATGAGAGCTTCCACTTTTGGTTTGCTGTTTTTTCTTCTTTTCTTTCCTCTTCCTTGGCTGAATCTGATGAAGGAAAAGAGGTGAAAATATATGCTGGTCCAAGGGATGCTTCTCACAGCATGCGGGATGGTATTCATCGGTTCTTTGGATGTCTCTGGCTTGGGACTGGTTTCCAGCAGCTTTGCTTAAGGAGTCTGCCATCCGTTCTTCACGTGTCCTCTGTTTTCTCCAAAAGCTGAGGTTTTTTGTGGGCTATTTTAGGATTTTATATGGGCCAAGGTGATTTTCTAAGCAAAAGGTCTTTTACTAAACATTGGGCTTCTTAGCTTGGGCTTTATTTTGGTTGGGTTGTTTTGCTTGGGTATTGGGCTACTCTTCTCTCTTGTGCTTACCCACATGTTTGGGCCTAAGAAATGGGCTTGAGTCTCGAGGCTCCCAAGCAACCCGAGACCTTCCATTTCTCGGTCCATCAATGGGTCTCATGTTGATTCATCACCATCCATGCCACAACCCACTCAAGCAAGCCCCGGGTTTTTTGAGTGGCTTGGGCCCACCTAGGCTTGTAGCGTGGTTGGGTGCGAGATAACGGCATGGCATGTTGCTCGGCATATTTTACCTTATCGCCCTTGGGAAGGATTGTTTTAATTTTTAGCATGAGTTAATTATATTTTTATCGCGAATCATAGCATGATAATTTGTTTATTTAGCGTGGCATGTGGATTATAACTCGCATGCGATAGATCCTTTTTTTCTTTTCCCTTATGGAATATTGTATTGGGCTGATAATTGCTCGGGCCCAATCCATGGATTTTTTGGGCCTCAACATTAGCCCCCTTAATTATAAGGGCCATGAACAGGTGCTGGAATGGGCCGAGTAATTAAACCTAACCCAAAAAATCAAATTTGTATTTGTGGAGAACTCTTCCTCTTCCCGCGTGCAAAATGACGGCGTGCCATGATTGGTCCCAGCGGTTATTTGCAGTTTCCCAACGCCAACTGCCTTCCTCTTCTTTTCATTATCATTTTTTTTCTCCTTTGTTTCTCTTTTCTCGCACCGGGCACAAACTTCTTCCTTTTCCTTTCTTTTTTTCGCTCCAGACCCCAAAACTTCTCTCCAACTATTTTTCTTGCGTTCTCTTTTGCTCTTCCACGAAGTCAGACCAAGGGAGAAAGTGCAATCGGGTAGAAATCACCCATCTCCAGCTGCAGGGAAGAAAGCCCCCAGTCCGACTCTAACTCAACCTCGTCGTTCCTCCTTCGTTCAAAGAAAATCCATTTGTTGATGCTGGAAGGGTTTTCTTTTTGTGCGGGTTTTGCCTTCAAATCCCTGATTTTCTCCTCTTTTTGGTGCATTCGACACCATCCCTTGGAAGATTTAACAAGGTACCCTCTTTTCTCTAGTTTTTCCCTTAGATTGATTGGAGAATTTGTTGGGTTTCTCATACCCATGGATGTTGCTTTTTGTTTTGGCAGCCAAATACCAAAACCCCCCTTTTTACCCATCTTGTTTCCGCTGCAACAATAGTGCTCACGGAGTGGGTGCTAGCAAGGAAGGGCCCGCGCCATTGTCTAGGTTTCTTCCTTCGTTGATTTTGCTCGAGCTGCTGGAAAGGTAATAATTTTTTTCTTGTTGGCTTGGGTTTCTCCCCCTTTTCTTCATTTTTATTTTGCACGGGCTTCCTCTTTTGTGTGTAAAAGGCTAATTTGGCATGATGTGCTTTCCCTTTGGTTATTTTTTTTTGTGCAGGTATACACATCTTGGGCATAGGTGAGGGTAGGTGCTGGAAACCCTTGACGTTTTGCTGCTGGAACCTTCAAATCCTTCAGTCTTCTAACTTAGATTTTGGTAAATAACTCTGCCAACTCTGGGTATTTTAGAATAGGTGTAGACTGATGCTTGGCCTAGGCTTTCTTTCCTTGAGGACGTATGTCCGATCAATTGTCACTTGTGGAGAACAATTTTTTTTGACAGAGTGGATGTTTCGTATTGCCTGGTTGAATATTCACTTTTCATTTGGAGAAGGGACTTGCTTATCCTGCCACAGAGAAAAAACTCTTGTTTGCCATGAGCTTGAATTTTAAATTGCATGTTTACTCGGACGACCATAACCAGCCGTGCTTGATACATATCTTATGTGCGCTAATTCCATCTTGCTTCTTCCCGCTTTTTTATATGCAGGTACCTATTATGGCATCCGGTAATCCACCATTTATCATAAGGGATCATCTTTACTCCATAGATGACAGGTTGAAGAGAGGGAGACCACCTCCTCTGCTTAAGGGTGTAACACCCCGACCCCAAATTTATCCCCTATTTTAATTAATTTGAGTGAAATTGAGAAATTACCCGTGGGATAGGGGTATTTTAGTCATTTTCTTGCCCGGAAGGAATTTGGGAATTCCGGATGTACCGTTGCGTAGAGCACGGCGAGATGAGTTCGTAGACATGTAGTGGGCTCGAATCGGAGTTGTAACGAGAGAGATATGATCAAAAGAAGCTCAGTGGCATAATCGTAAATATTTGGAAAATGGATTTTTGGTTAAAAGACGGAATTGCCCCCCGTCTCTCTCACACTCTCTCTCTCCCGCGCGTCCCTCTCTCTCTCCTCTGGTTCGCGACCGCCACCACAGCCGGCCACGTTTTGGCCGGCCGTTCATTCGTCCGGCCACCACTCGGGTCGGGACCGGTCCCAAAATGACCGGCCTGACTTCGCCGTCCTACCCCAACCATTCTCCGATGTCAGCCGGCAGCGGTATCGCCGGAAATTGCAGAAAAACGGCCGGTTTTTACCCAGATTTTCCGGAGCTCGTTCCGGCGATTCCGGCCACCAAATCTTGCGATCAAGGTATGGTTTCTTACCTATTTTCCGAGCTCTAGCTGCCTGTTGGGTAGGAATTGATCGATTTGTAGCGTAGGCAACTCGATTTACGAATTGGGTTTCGGCCGGATTTCGGGATGAGATTCCGGCCACTTCCGGTCAGTTTTTGGGGTACGTCCAAGAACAAAAGTGACTCCAAATTAGGTGTTTACCTAGGGTAGGAGTCTTGAGCCGTGATTTGTGGTTTTTCCGGCGATGCGATATCGCTTTGGGCACCCACGCGCTGCCGGCGCGTGTGGCGGCGCGTGGGCACTGTAGCTGAGGGGCATTTTTGTCCCATTGTGATCCTCTCGATGTCACGAGCGCGTAGGTGTGCTCGGATCTCAATTTGGATATCGTTAGAGTCCCGAACGGATATCGCATATCGCGTATTTTCCGGGTTCGCTGGGTTTGGACCGTTGGATGGTCCTGATATTATAATATGTTGATCTAGGTATTACCAGGATCGTGTAGGATTCGACGGATCGTAAAACGGAGTCCCGGATACTCCAGAAATGCCAACCCTGGGGTTAGGGTTTTAGTAACCGTCCGATCGTGCGATCGTGAGCGATCCGACCGTCCGATCTGGACCAAACTTGCAGGACGTGCATCCTAGAGCTTGTAGAACCTATAGGAACTTTCGGATCGGAAATTGGAGGTCGTGGGCCCCGCGGGCCCGTTTGACCAAGGTTGGGTAGTTTGACCCTGGTTTGTCTGTGGGACTTCCTAGGTAGTATTACATTCCTAGGAAGATTAAAATGACCGTGGTGACAGGTCCTGATGTCATGGGGATTATGGGGGATTATCGGATGCTAGTTGTTTGTTAAGGTGTTTGTATGATTAGAAATTATATGTTATATTTAATTGATTGTATGGAGGTATAATGATATATAAGGAGATTGAATATTAGTTTACAGTGCTATACGCACTACCCCACGTACCCCTCATATTGTGATTATGCTCAGGCCCAAGTGATAGTGTGAGGTCGCACGCGTCTTTGGGTTAGCCGGCGTGTTGACAGACCCCGTACGTGGCCGGGTGCGTCCCGACGTATGAGTGGGAGATATGATGGTATGATGGCTGGTGAGAATGTAGCCAGGCCCAGTGTGAGGTCGCACGCGTCTTTGGGTTAGCCGGCGTGTTGACAGACCCCGTACGTGGCCGGGTACGTCCCGACGTATGAGTGGGAGATATGATTGTGTGAGGGCTGGTGAGAATGTAGCCAGGCCCAGTGTGAGGTCGCACGCGTCTTTGGGTTAGCCGGCGTGTTGACAGACCCCGTACGTGGCCGGGTGCGTCCCGACGTATGAGTGGGAGATATGATGGTGTGAGGGCTGGTGAGAATGTAGCCAGGCCCAGTGTGAGGTCGCACGCGTCTTTGGGTTAGCCGGCGTGTTGACAGACCCCGTACGTGGCCGGGTGCGTCCCGACGTATGAGTGGGAGATATGATGTGTGATGGCTGGTGAGAATGTAGCCAGGCCCAGTGTGAGGTCGCACGCGTCTTTGGGTTAGCCGGCGTGTTGACAGACCCCGTACGTGGCCGGGTGCGTCCCGACGTATGAGTGGGAGATATGATTGTGTGAGGGCTGGTGAGAATGTAGCCAGGCCCAGTGTGAGGTCGCACGCGTCTTTGGGTTAGCCGGCGTGTTGACAGACCCCGTACGTGGCCGGGTGCGTCCCGACGTATGAGTGGGCGATATGATGGTGTGAGGGCTGGTGAGAATGTAGCCAGGCCCAGTGTGAGGTGCACGCGTCTTTGGGTTAGCCGGCGTGTTGACAGACCCCGTACGTGGCCGGGTGCGTCCCGACGTATGAGTGGGAGATATGATGGTGTGAGGGCTGGTGAGAATGTAGCCAGGCCCAGTGTGAGGTCGCACGCGTCTTTGGGTTAGCCGGCGTGTTGACAGACCCCGTACGTGGCCGGGTGCGTCCCGACGTATGAGTGGGAGATATGATGGTATGAGGGCTGGTGAGAATGTAGCCAGGCCCAGTGTGAGGTCGCACGCGTCTTTGGGTTAGCCGGCGTGTTGACAGACCCCGTACGTGGCCGGGTGCGTCCCGACGTATGAGTGGGAGATATGATGGTGTGAGGGCTGGTGAGAATGTAGCCAGGCCCAGTGTGAGGTCGCACGGTCTTTGGGTTAGCCGGCGTGTTGACAGACCCCGTACGTGGCCGGGTGCGTCCCGACGTATGAGTGGGAGATATGATGGTAGAGGGCTGGTGAGAATGTAGCCAGGCCCAGTGTGAGGAGCACGGGTCTTTGGGGTAGCGGCGTGTTGGACAGAACCCCGTACGTGGACGGGTGCGTCCCGACGTATGAGTGGGAGATATGATGGTATGAGGGCTGGTGAGAATGTAGCCAGGCCCAGTGTGAGGTCGCACGCGTCTTTGGGTTAGCCGGCGTGTTGACAGACCCCGTACGTGGCCGGGTACGTCCCGACGTATGAGTGGGAGATATGATTGTGTGAGAGGCTGGTGAGAATGTAGCCAGGCCCAGTTGAGGTCGCACGCGTCTTTGGGTTAGCCGGCGTGTTGACAACCCCGTACGTGGCCGGGTGCGTCCCGACGTATGATGGGAGATATGATGGTGTGAGGGCTGGTGAGAGTAGCCAGGCCCAGTGTGAGGTCGCACGCGTCTTTGGGTTAGCCGGCGTGTTGACAACCCCGTACGTGGCCGGGTGCGTCCCGACGTAAGTGGGAGATATGATGGTGTGATGGCTGGTGAGATGTACCAGGCCCAGTGTGAGGTCGCAGCGTCTTTGGGTTCCGGCGTGTTGACAACCCCGACGTGGCCGGGTGCGTCCCGACGTATGAGTGGGAGATATGATTGTGTGAGGGCTGGTGAGAATGTACCAGGCCCAGTGTGAGGTCGCACGCGTCTTTGGGTTAGCCGGCGTGTTGACAACCCCGTACGTGGCCGGGTGCGTCCCGACGTATGAGTGGGCGATATGATGGTGTGAGGGCTGGTGAGAATGTAGCCAGGCCCAGTGTGAGGTTGCACGCGTCTTTGGGTTAGCCGGCGTGTTGACAGACCCCACGGGGCCGGGTGCGTCCCGACGTAGGTGTGAGATTGCTGTATTTGATGGCTGGTGAGAAGTGTTTAGCCAGGCCCATGTTAGGTCGCACGCGTCTTTGGATTAGCCGCCGTGTTTACAGACTCCGTAAAACTTTGCCGGGTCGTCTCCCGTATGAGTGGATATATTATGGTATGATGGCGGTGAGAATGGTCACCCATCCCAAGTGATACTACTTGTATTTGTGTCAGGTCGCACGATTCTTCTCTTTGGATTAGCCCTGGTGACAGACCACCCGTACTGGGCCGTTGTCGTCCCGAGTATGAGTGGAGATATATGGGATGTGATGTGGCTGGTGAGACATGTGCCAGCCCAAGTGTGAGGTCGCACGCGTCTTTGGGTTAGCCGGCGTGTTGACAGACCCCGTACGTGGCCGGGTGCGTCCCGACGTATGAGTGGGAGATATGATGGTGTGAGGGCTGGTGAGAATGTAGCCAGGCCCAGTGTGAGGTCGCACGCGTCTTGGGTTAGCCGGCGTGTTGACAGACCCCGTACGTGGCCGGGTGCGTCCCGACGTATGAGTGGGAGATATGATGGTATGATGGCTGGTGAGAATGTAGCCAGGCCCAGTGTGAGGTCGCACGCGTCTTTGGGTTAGCCGGCGTGTTGACAGACCCCGTACGTGGCCGGGTACGTCCCGACGTATGAGTGGGAGATTTAGATTGTGTGAGGGCATGGGAGAAGTAGCCAGGGGCTAGTGTGACGGTCGCTACGGCGTCTTTGGGTTAGAGGAGTGTTGAAAGACCCTTGTACGTGGTGGGTGCGTCCCGGACGTATGAGTGGGAGACATGATGTGTGAGGGCTGGTGAGAATGTAGCCAGCCAGTGTGAGGTCGCACGCGTCTTTGGGTTAGCCGGCGTGTTGACAGACCCCGTACGTGGCCGGGTGCGTCCCGACGTATGAGTGGGAGATATGATGGTGTGATGGCTGGTGAGAATGTAGCCAGGCCCAGTGTGAGGTCGCACGCGTCTTTGGGTTAGCCGGCGTGTTGACAGACCCCGTACGTGGCCGGGTGCGTCCCGACGTATGAGTGGGAGATATGATTGTGTGAGGGCTGGTGAGAATGTAGCCAGGCCCAGTGTGAGGTCGCACGCGTCTTTGGGTTAGCCGGCGTGTTGACAGACCCCGTACGTGGCCGGGTGCGTCCCGACGTATGAGTGGGAGATATGATGGTATGAGGGCTGGTGAGAATGTAGCCAGGCCCAGTGTGAGGTCGCACGCGTCTTTGGGTTAGCCGGCGTGTTGACAGACCCCGTACGTGGCCGGGTGCGTCCCGACGTATGAGTGGGAGATATGATTGTGTGAGGGCTGGTGAGAATGTAGCCAGGCCTAGTGTGAGGTCGCACGCGTCTTTGGGTTAGCCGGCGTGTTGACAGACCCCGTACGTGGCTGGGTGCGTCCCGACGTATGAGTGGGAGATATGATGGTGTGAGGGCTGGTGAGAATGTAGCCAGGCCCAGTGTGAGGTCGCACGCGTCTTTGGGTTAGCCGGCGTGTTGACAGACCCCGTACGTGGCCGGGTGCGTCCCGACGTATGAGTGGGAGATATGATGGTGTGATGGCTGGTGAGAATGTAGCCAGGCCCAGTGTGAGGTCGCACGCGTCTTTGGGTTAGCCGGCGTGTTGACAGACCCCGTACGTGGCCGGGTGCGTCCCGACGTATGAGTGGGAGATATGATTGTGTGAGGGCTGGTGAGAATGTAGCCAGGCCCAGTGTGAGGTCGCACGCGTCTTTGGGTTAGCCGGCGTGTTGACAGACCCCGTACGTGGCCGGGTGCGTCCCGACGTATGAGTGGGCGATATGATGGTGTGAGGGCTGGTGAGAATGTAGCCAGGCCCAGTGTGAGGTCGCACGCGTCTTTGGGTTAGCGGCGTGTTGACAGACCCCACGGGGCCGGGTGCGTCCCGACGTAGGTGTGAGATTGCTGTATTTGATGGCTGGTGAGAAGTGTTTAGCCAGGCCCATGTTAGGTCGCACGCGTCTTTGGATTAGCCGCCGTGTTTACAGACTCCGTAAAACTTTGCCGGTCGTCTCCCGTATGAGTGGGATATATTATGGTATGATGGCGGTGAGAATGGTAGCCAAGGCCCAGTGTGAGGTCGAACGCGTCTTTGGGTTTAGCCGGCGGGTTGACAGACCCCCGTACGTGGCCGGGTGCGTCCCGAGTATGGTGGGAGATATGATGGTGTGAGGGCTGGTGAGAATGTAGCCGCCCAGTGTGAGGTCGCACGCGTCTTTGGGGTTAGCCGGCGTGTTGACAGACCCCCGTACGTGGGGGTGCGTCCCGAGTATGAGTGGGAGATATGATGGTATGATGGCTGGTGAGGAATGTAGCCAGGCCCAGTGTGAGGTCGCACGCGTCTTTGGGGTTAGCCGGCGTGTTGACAGACCCCGTACGTGGCGGGTAGGTCCCGACGTATGAGTGGGAGATATGATGGTATGATGGCTGGTGAGAATGTAGCCAGGCCCAGTGTGAGGTCGCACGCGTCTTTGGGTTAGGCGTGTTGACAGACCCCGTACGTGGACGGGTGCGTCCCGACGTATGATGTGGGAGATTGATTGTGTGAGGGCTGGTGAGAATGTAGCCAGGCCCAGTGTGAGGTCGCACGCGTCTGGGGTAGCCGGCATGTTGACAGACCCCGTACGTGGCCGGGTAGTCCCGACGTATGAGTGGGAGATATATTGTGTGAGGGCTGGTGAGAAAGTAGCCAGGCCCAGTGTGAGGGCGACCGTCTTTGGGTTAGCCGGCCGTGGACAGGACCCCGTACGTGGCCGGGTGCGTCCCACGTAATGAGTGGGAGATATGATGGTATGATGGCTGGTGAGAATGAGCCAGGCCCAGTGTGAGGTCGCACGCGTCTTTGGGTTAGCCGGCGTGTTGACAGACCCCGTACGTGGCCGGGTACGTCCCGACGTATGAGTGGGAGATATGATGGTATGATGGCTGGTGAGAATGTAGCCAGGCCCAGTGTGAGGTCGCACGCGTCTTTGGGTTAGCCGGCGTGTTGACAGACCCCGTACGTGGCCGGGTGCGTCCCGACGTATGAGTGGAGCTATGTGATTGTGTTTGGTGTGTTGTGATGGATAAACCCGAGAATGTATGAATTTATATGGATGTAATGGTTTAATTGATATTAGTAGTCAGGATTGATAGGAAAGAGCTACGTGTGGCTTGATCCCTTAGTAGGGTACGTAGGCAGCCTGGGATAGCGCCTAGGTGCAGCCACGACCTAGACACCACTTAGGTGGTTTTATCGAGTATGATGCGGACCTCGTGGTTGGTCCCGAAACTTGGTTGAATTGAGGCTTGTCCGGTGGACTGAGTGAGTGAAGGTGTGCATAGAGAGATTTGGAATTTGTTATATGCATGGTTGATGCATGAAGTTATTTTGAAAACAGTGTGGGCAGTCTGCTAGAATCATTTGAAGGCCGGAGGCCATTTATGTAAATTGCATGAGATTATATTGTGCGTGCTGCTGGTTGGGTTATAAAATGAGTTTTATGCAGGTGGAACTTTTGGGGAATATTCAATTTACAGGGGAGACTCTGCCGAAATTTTCGGCAGAAAGTCTCGTGCCCTTAATCCTCTATGGTGAACGAGGACGTAGATTTAAGGAGTAAACCCGGCGTGGGTGTGATGCCGGGGTCTCCGCAGGGTTCGTCTCGGGTTCCGGGAAATTCGGGACGGGTCCTGTCAGCTTGGTATCAGAGCAAGCTTGGTATCAGAGCTTAAGTTCAATTTCTTGCGGACCCGCACCTTGTGTGCATCCTTAAGTTGTGGGATCATGATGGGTTCCGTCACGGGACGTCATCATTTTGACGCGGAGGATTCTTTGACATAGATGGATTTAAGGTATTGATGAGTACACTTAAGGGTGTCACGTTCCTAGAAACGTGTCTATCCAAATTGTCGTATCTCAATATCCTATGGAAGGAAGCAGAAGAGCTGAAAGTATTGAATCCGCTGAGATGAGATGAAATTGTCAGAGGAAGTTGATGGACAAGTTACAAGGGAATGGAGGAGTTGTAAGTCTGACCAAGGAGGCTCGTGTGTGGTGGGAATACCACGAGCAAATCCAAGGATGAGACCTAGATGGATTGGTAAACCTACCGTGGAGATGAAGAGATTGCTTTGGGGTCTCATCTCATGTGAACACGTTTGAGTAGAAATCTTTGATTCGAATCAGAAATGGGTCATGGTAGAGAGAGGAAGATGATTACAATTCGGTAAAAATGACCCTTTCTGACATCCCTCTCAAGAATCGTGTTGGCAATGTTGCTTATCGATTCTAAAGAAAGAGGAAGATATCAACAAGTCAAGGAGTTTGGACTTCTCTTCGTGGGAGAGCTAGAAGAGAATCAAATCACAAATGGAATGACTTGGCTGCCAACCTGGTTGTGGAGGATGAAGTATGGGAACCCGAGTAGTAGTAGATGCGGGCCCAGTACCCACACCCTTTGGAGTGGCAGGTATGAAATTTCGGGGACGAAATTTTTATAAGGGGGGTAGTATGTAACACCCCGACCCCAAATTTATCCCATATTTTAATTAATTTGAGTGAAATTGAGAAATTACCCGTGGGATAGGGGTATTTTAGTCATTTTCTTGCCCGGAAGGAATTTGGGAATTCCGGATGTACCGTTGCGTAGAGCACGGCGAGATGAGTTCGTAGACATGTAGTGGGCTCGAATCGGAGTTGTAACGAGAGAGATATGATCAAAAGAAGCTCAGTGGCATAATCGTAAATATTTGGAAAATGGATTTTTGGTTAAAAGACGGAATTGCCCCCGTCTCTCTCACACTCTCTCTCTCCCGCGCGTCCCTCTCTCTCTCCTCTGGTTCGCGACCGCCACCACAGCCGGCCACGTTTTGGCCGGCCGTTCATTCGTCCGGCCACCACTCGGGTCGGGACCGGTCCCAAAATGACCGGCCTGACTTCGCCGTCCTACCCCACCCATTCTCCGATGTCAGCCGGCAGCGGTATCGCCGGAAATTGCAGAAAAACGGCCGGTTTTTACCCAGATTTTCCGGAGCTCGTTCCGGCGATTCCGGCCACCAAATCTTGCGATCAAGGTATGGTTTCTTACCTATTTTCCGAGCTCTAGCTGCCTGTTGGGTAGGAATTGATCGATTTGTAGCGTAGGCAACTCGATTTACGAATTGGGTTTCGGCCGGATTTCGGGATGAGATTCCGGCCACTTCCGGTCAGTTTTTGGGGTACGTCCAAGAACAAAAGTGACTCCAAATTAGGTGTTTTACCTAGGGTAGGAGTCTTGAGCCGTGATTTGTGGTTTTTCCGGCGATGCGATATCGCTTTGGGCACCCACGCGCTGCCGGCGCGTGTGGCGGCGCGTGGGCACTGTAGCTGAGGGGCATTTTTGTCCCATTGTGATCCTCTCGATGTCACGAGCGCGTAGGTGTGCTCGGATCTCAATTTGGATATCGTTAGAGTCCCGAACGGATATCGCATATCGCGTATTTTCCGGGTTCGCTGGGTTTGGACCGTTGGATGGTCCTGATATTATAATATGTTGATCTAGGTATTACCAGGATCGTGTAGGATTCGACGGATCGTAAAACGGAGTCCCGGATACTCCAGAAATGCCAACCCTGGGGTTAGGGTTTTAGTAACCGTCCGATCGTGCGATCGTGAGCGATCCAACCGTCCGATCTGGACCAAACTTGCAGGACGTGCATCCTAGAGCTTGTAGAACCTATAGGAACTTTCGGATCGGAAATTGGAGGTCGTGGGCCCCGCGGGCCCGTTTGACCAAGGTTGGGTAGTTTGACCCTGGTTTGTCTGTGGGACTTCCTAGGTAGTATTACATTCCTAGGAAGATTAAAATGACCGTGGTGACAGGTCCTGATGTCATGGGGATTATGGGGGATTATCGGATGCTAGTTGTTTGTTAAGGTGTTTGTATGATTAGAAATTATATGTTATATTTAATTGATTGTATGGAGGTATAATGATATATAAGGAGATTGAATATTAGTTTACAGTGCTATACGCACTACCCCACGTACCCCTCATATTGTGATTATGCTCAGGCCCAAGTGATAGTGTGAGGTCGCACGCGTCTTTGGGTTAGCCGGCGTGTTGACAGACCCCGTACGTGGCCGGGTGCGTCCCGACGTATGAGTGGGAGATATGATGGTATGATGGCTGGTGAGAATGTAGCCAGGCCCAGTGTGAGGTCGCACGCGTCTTTGGGTTAGCCGGCGTGTTGACAGACCCCGTACGTGGCCGGGTACGTCCCGACGTATGAGTGGGAGATATGATTGTGTGAGGGCTGGTGAGAATGTAGCCAGGCCCAGTGTGAGGTCGCACGCGTCTTTGGGTTAGCCGGCGTGTTGACAGACCCCGTACGTGGCTGGGTGCGTCCCGACGTATGAGTGGGAGATATGATGGTGTGAGGGCTGGTGAGAATGTAGCCAGGCCCAGTGTGAGGTCGCACGCGTCTTTGGGTTAGCCGGCGTGTTGACAGACCCCGTACGTGGCCGGGTGCGTCCCGACGTATGAGTGGGAGATATGATGGTGTGATGGCTGGTGAGAATGTAGCCAGGCCCAGTGTGAGGTCGCACGCGTCTTTGGGTTAGCCGGCGTGTTGACAGACCCCGTACGTGGCCGGGTGCGTCCCGACGTATGAGTGGGAGATATGATTGTGTGAGGGCTGGTGAGAATGTAGCCAGGCCCAGTGTGAGGTCGCACGCGTCTTTGGGTTAGCCGGCGTGTTGACAGACCCCGTACGTGGCCGGGTGCGTCCCGACGTATGAGTGGGCGATATGATGGTGTGAGGGCTGGTGAGAATGTAGCCAGGCCCAGTGTGAGGTCGCACGCGTCTTTGGGTTAGCCGGCGTGTTGACAGACCCCACGTGGCCGGGTGCGTCCCGACGTAGGTGTGAGATTGCTGTATTTGATGGCTGGTGAGAAGTGTTTAGCCAGGCCCATGTTAGGTCGCACGCGTCTTTGGATTAGCCGCCGTGTTTACAGACTCCGTAAAACTTTGCCGGGTCGTCTCCCGTATGAGTGGATATATTATGGTATGATGGCGGTGAGAATGGTAGCCAAGGCCCAGTGTGAGGTCGAACGCGTCTTTGGGTTTAGCCGGCGGGTTGACAGACCCCGTACGTGGCCGGGTGCGTCCCGACGTATGGTGGGAGATATGATGGTGTGAGGGCTGGTGAGAATGTAGCCGCCCAGTGTGAGGTCGCACGCGTCTTTGGGGTTAGCCGGCGTGTTGACAGACCCCGTACGTGGGGGTGCGTCCCGAGTATGAGTGGGAGATATGATGGTATGATGGCTGGTGAGAATGTAGCCAGGCCCAGTGTGAGGTCGCACGCGTCTTTGGGGTTAGCCGGCGTGTTGACAGACCCCGTACGTGGCGGGTAGGTCCCGACGTATGAGTGGGAGATATGATGGTATGATGGCTGGTGAGAATGTAGCCAGGCCCAGTGTGAGGTCGCACGCGTCTTTGGGTTAGGCGTGTTGACAGACCCCGTACGTGGACGGGTGCGTCCCGACGTATGATGTGGGAGATTGATTGTGTGAGGGCTGGTGAGAATGTAGCCAGGCCCAGTGTGAGGTCGCACGCGTCTGGGTTAGCCGGCATGTTGACAGACCCCGTACGTGGCCGGGTAGTCCCGACGTATGAGTGGGAGATATGATGGTAAGGGCTGGTGAGAAATGTAGCCAGGACCAGTGTGAGGTAGACCGTCATTTGGGTTAGCAGGCCGTGTGACAGACCCCGTACGTGGCCGGGTGCGGTCCCACGTAATGAGTGGGAGATATATGGATGGTGGCTTGGTGAGAATGTAGCCAGGCCCAGTGTGAGGTCGCACGCGTCTTTGGGTTAGCCGGCGTGTTGACAGACCCCGTACGTGGCCGGGTACGTCCCGACGTATGAGTGGGAGATATGATGGTATGATGGCTGGTGAGAATGTAGCCAGGCCCAGTGTGAGGTCGCACGCGTCTTTGGGTTAGCCGGCGTGTTGACAGACCCCGTACGTGGCCGGGTGCGTCCCGACGTATGAGTGGAGCTATGTGATTGTGTTTGGTGTGTTGTGATGGATAAACCCGAGAATGTATGAATTTATATGGATGTAATGGTTTAATTGATATTAGTAGTCAGGATTGATAGGAAAGAGCTACGTGTGGCTTGATCCCTTAGTAGGGTACGTAGGCAGCCTGGGATAGCGCCTAGGTGCAGCCACGACCTAGACACCACTTAGGTGGTTTTATCGAGTATGATGCGGACCTCGTGGTTGGTCCCGAAACTTGGTTGAATTGAGGCTTGTCCGGTGGACTGAGTGAGTGAAGGTGTGCATAGAGAGATTTGGAATTTGTTATATGCATGGTTGATGCATGAAGTTATTTTGAAAACAGTGTGGGCAGTCTGCTAGAATCATTTGAAGGCCGGAGGCCATTTATGTAAATTGCATGAGATTATATTGTGCGTGCTGCTGGTTGGGTTATAAAATGAGTTTTATGCAGGTGGAACTTTTGGGGAATATTCAATTTACAGGGGAGACTCTGCCGAAATTTTCGGCAGAAAGTCTCGTGCCCTTAATCCTCTATGGTGAACGAGGACGTAGATTTAAGGAGTAAACCCGGCGTGGGTGTGATGCCGGGGTCTCCGCAGGGTTCGTCTCGGGTTCCGGGAAATTCGGGACGGGTCCTGTCAGCTTGGTATCAGAGCAAGCTTGGTATCAGAGCTTAAGTTCAATTTCTTGCGGACCCCGCACCTTGTGTGCATCCTTAAGTTGTGGGATCATGATGGGTTCCGTCACGGGACGTCATCATTTTGACGCGGAGGATTCTTTGACATAGATGGATTTAAGGTATTGATGAGTACACTTAAGGGTGTCACGTTCCTAGAAACGTGTCTATCCAAATTGTCGTATCTCAATATCCTATGGAAGGAAGCAGAAGAGCTGAAAGTATTGAATCCGCTGAGATGAGATGAAATTGTCAGAGGAAGTTGATGGACAAGTTACAAGGGAATGGAGGAGTTGTAAGTCTGACCAAGGAGGCTCGTGTGTGGTGGGAATACCACGAGCAAATCCAAGGATGAGACCTAGATGGATTGGTAAACCTACCGTGGAGATGAAGAGATTGCTTTGGGGTCTCATCTCATGTGAACACGTTTGAGTAGAAATCTTTGATTCGAATCAGAAATGGGTCATGGTAGAGAGAGGAAGATGATTACAATTCGGTAAAAATGACCCTTTCTGACATCCCTCTCAAGAATCGTGTTGGCAATGTTGCTTATCGATTCTAAAGAAAGAAGGAAGATATCAACAAGTCAAGGAGTTTGGACTTCTCTTCGTGGGAGAGCTAGAAGAGAATCAAATCACAAATGGAATGACTTGGCTGCCAACCTGGTTGTGGAGGATGAAGTATGGGAACCCGAGTAGTAGATGCGGGCCCAGTACCCACACCCTTTGGAGTGGCAGGTATGAAATTTCGGGGACGAAATTTTTATAAGGGGGGTAGTATGTAACACCCCGACCCCAAATTTATCCCATGTTTTAATTAATTTGAGTGAAATTGAGAAATTACCCGTGGGATAGGGGTATTTTAGTCATTTTCTTGCCCGGAAGGAATTTGGGAATTCCGGATGTACCGTTGCGTAGAGCACGGCGAGATGAGTTCGTAGACATGTAGTGGGCTCGAATCGGAGTTGTAACGAGAGAGATATGATCAAAAGAAGCTCAGTGGCATAATCGTAAATATTTGGAAAATGGATTTTTGGTTAAAAGACGGAATTGCCCCCGTCTCTCTCACACTCTCTCTCTCCCGCGCGTCCCTCTCTCTCTCCTCTGGTTCGCGACCGCCACCACAGCCGGCCACGTTTTGGCCGGCCGTTCATTCGTCCGGCCACCACTCGGGTCGGGACCGGTCCCAAAATGACCGGCCTGACTTCGCCGTCCTACCCCACCCATTCTCCGATGTCAGCCGGCAGCGGTATCGCCGGAAATTGCAGAAAAACGGCCGGTTTTTACCCAGATTTTCCGGAGCTCGTTCCGGCGATTCCGGCCACCAAATCTTGCGATCAAGGTATGGTTTCTTACCTATTTTCCGAGCTCTAGCTGCCTGTTGGGTAGGAATTGATCGATTTGTAGCGTAGGCAACTCGATTTACGAATTGGGTTTCGGCCGGATTTCGGGATGAGATTCCGGCCACTTCCGGTCAGTTTTTGGGGTACGTCCAAGAACAAAAGTGACTCCAAATTAGGTGTTTTACCTAGGGTAGGAGTCTTGAGCCGTGATTTGTGGTTTTTCCGGCGATGCGATATCGCTTTGGGCACCCACGCGCTGCCGGCGCGTGTGGCGGCGCGTGGGCACTGTAGCTGAGGGGCATTTTTGTCCCATTGTGATCCTCTCGATGTCACGAGCGCGTAGGTGTGCTCGGATCTCAATTTGGATATCGTTAGAGTCCCGAACGGATATCGCATATCGCGTATTTTCCGGGTTCGCTGGGTTTGGACCGTTGGATGGTCCTGATATTATAATATGTTGATCTAGGTATTACCAGGATCGTGTAGGATTCGACGGATCGTAAAACGGAGTCCCGGATACTCCAGAAATGCCAACCCTGGGGTTAGGGTTTTAGTAACCGTCCGATCGTGCGATCGTGAGCGATCCGACCGTCCGATCTGGACCAAACTTGCAGGACGTGCATCCTAGAGCTTGTAGAACCTATAGGAACTTTCGGATCGGAAATTGGAGGTCGTGGGCCCCGCGGGCCCGTTTGACCAAGGTTGGGTAGTTTGACCCTGGTTTGTCTGTGGGACTTCCTAGGTAGTATTACATTCCTAGGAAGATTAAAATGACCGTGGTGACAGGTCCTGATGTCATGGGGATTATGGGGGATTATCGGATGCTAGTTGTTTGTTAAGGTGTTTGTATGATTAGAAATTATATGTTATATTTAATTGATTGTATGGAGGTATAATGATATATAAGGAGATTGAATATTAGTTTACAGTGCTATACGCACTACCCCACGTACCCCTCATATTGTGATTATGCTCAGGCCCAAGTGATAGTGTGAGGTCGCACGCGTCTTTGGGTTAGCCGGCGTGTTGACAGACCCCGTACGTGGCCGGGTGCGTCCCGACGTATGAGTGGGAGATATGATGGTATGATGGCTGGTGAGAATGTAGCCAGGCCCAGTGTGAGGTCGCACGCGTCTTTGGGTTAGCCGGCGTGTTGACAGACCCCGTACGTGGCCGGGTACGTCCCGACGTATGAGTGGGAGATATGATTGTGTGAGGGCTGGTGAGAATGTAGCCAGGCCCAGTGTGAGGTCGCACGCGTCTTTGGGTTAGCCGGCGTGTTGACAGACCCCGTACGTGGCCGGGTGCGTCCCGACGTATGAGTGGGAGATATGATGGTGTGAGGGCTGGTGAGAATGTAGCCAGGCCCAGTGTGAGGTCGCACGCGTCTTTGGGGTAGCCGGCGTGTGACAGACCCCGTACGTGGCCGGGTGCGTCCCGACGTATGAGTGGGAGATATGATGGTGTGAGGGCTGGTGAGAATGTAGCCAGGCCCAGTGTGAGGTCGCACGCGTCTTTGGGTTAGCCGGCGTGTTGACAGACCCCGTACGTGGCCGGGTGCGTCCCGACGTATGAGTGGGAGATATGATTGTGTGAGGGCTGGTGAGAATGTAGCCAGGCCCAGTGTGAGGTCGCACGCGTCTTTGGGTTAGCCGGCGTGTTGACAGACCCCGTACGTGGCCGGGTGCGTCCCGACGTATGAGTGGGAGATATGATGTGTGAGGGCTGGTGAGAATGTAGCCAGGCCCAGTGTGAGGTCGCACGCGTCTTTGGGTTAGCCGGCGTGTTGACAGACCCCGTACGTGGCCGGGTGCGTCCCGACGTATGAGTGGGAGATATGATGGTATGATGGCTGGTGAGAATGTAGCCAGGCCCAGTGTGAGGTCGCACGCGTCTTTGGGTTAGCCGGCGTGTTGACAGACCCCGTACGTGGCCGGGTGCGTCCCGACGTATGAGTGGGAGATATGATGGTATGATGGGCTGGTGAGAATGTAGCCAGGCCCAGTGTGAGGTCGCACGCGTCTTTGGGTTAGCCGGCGTGTTGACAGACCCCGTACGTGGCCGGGTGCGTCCCGACGTATGAGTGGGAGATATGATGTGTGAGGGCTGGTGAGAATGTAGCCAGGCCCGTGTGAGGTCCTAACTGCGTCATTTGCGGATCTAGCCGGCTGTTGACAGACCCCGTACGTGGCCGGGTACGTCCCGACGTATGAGTGGGAGATATGATTGTGTGAGGGCTGGTGAGAATGTAGCCAGGCCCAGTGTGAGGTCGCACGCGTCTTTGGGTTAGCCGGCGTGTTGACAGACCCCGTACGTGGCCGGGTGCGTCCCGACGTATGAGTGGGAGATATGATGGTATGATGGGCTGGTGAGAATGTAGCCAGGCCCAGTGTGAGGTCGCACGCGTCTTTGGGTTAGCCGGCGTGTTGACAGACCCCGTACGTGGCCGGGTACGTCCCGACGTATGAGTGGGAGATATGATGGTATGATGGCTGGTGAGAATGTAGCCAGGCCCAGTGTGAGGTCGCACGCGTCTTTGGGTTAGCCGGCGTGTTGACAGACCCCGTACGTGGCCGGGTGCGTCCCGACGTATGAGTGGAGCTATGT